TCAATGCTGGCTTATCAGGATTGGCAAATGCGTGTCTATCAACACAATTGAACGAAGCATTCAATTCACCACCCAAGAACCAAGCTGTGCCGTTTATCAGGTGATAATCTCAAATGGTAACACAGGTTCAGCATGTCTTCATATGCCAGCCTGTAGTATTTTGCTGGTTACTCACCTCACTGCCTAATGTGCAGTGTGGGAGAAGAAGAAAGGCATATTTTATTTTGTCAGTNAAAAAAAGAAACTTTTTTTATTTTTTTTTGTTTTTCATTTCTATTCTATATATTATAGGTTTTCATAGCTGTATACGACCCAATAAATCAAGTACTTCACCGTTACTCAAAGCGTCTATGCCATGTCCATAATCTGATCTCAATTTATCTAATGCATTTCTTTGTGTCCTGATCATAGCCGCCTTAGACGAAGAAACAGAATCTAGCACATCGATAGCCTGAACCACTTTTACATAACTTCGATTTCCATCGTTGGACAATGTGTAGTCATCAAAGCGTGTGATAGAACTCAGTCTTCTGGTGTTCAATAAAAGAGTCGCATGTAGAAAGCTGACCAAGTAGTTGAAGTCCAGAATTAGTTGTCTAACGCCTACTTTTGAAAACCGGTTATTGGTGATAACGTACTCATACAACAAGTCTGAAATAACAGTAACTGCCATATTTGTCACGGCAAAGTAATCGATTCTGGAAACTGACTTTTCCACAATATCAAGATAAGTTGGTAATGTGTTTATAAGTGGTGCTAAATTAGGTGATGGAACAATATCAGATTCTTGTGCATCCAAATCCGAATCCCAGCGACCTGTATTGACATAGGGTTTCAACAACTGTTTGATTTCAACTCGCAAGATTCCCAAATAACTATGCAAGGTCCTGTCAAGTAGTTCTTCAAACTTGTTCGAGATTGCGCTGAATAGCCCCTCATCCCTTTCCAAATCCAGAGTGGGTGTCGTAAAGCTTTGATACATTTTCCAAAGCTGCACAAACACAATCTCAGCGTTCCATTTTTCGATTCCATCGCCAACAAACTTTGTTGAGCAGTAGATTTCGGTTAGCTTTTCCAAGCTGGTAATTACTTCAGTCTCGCGTTTGTTCACAGACTTCGTGTCGGTGTCAATACCACCGGGTATCATCGTCAACACGCTCTTGGTGTTCTTATCAGTCAATTGTTTGTGCTGCTGAATCAATTGTTCCAAGTACAAATCAAGCAAATGCAACTGAATACTGGACACGTATTTTAATTGAAATTTCACAATACTAAGTGTTTGGACGTGAGAATTCAAATTTTCAACAAGTTTCACAAGTCCATAGGCGGAAAATGTTGGCCGTAAGTACTTCATCGAAACAGTTGTATCCTTGCCAGTTCTTTTGTTTGGCTGATAATCGAAATCAATTTTCATCCAATCGTTTGCACTCATAATTTCGTTGTTGAACCTCTTGATCGCCAACGTCTTTTCAAACTCTAGCCAACTCTCAAACGCACGATTATGCTCGTCTAATAATATATCACCAGTTATTCCTGTCCACTTTTCCTTTGCCGGGGTTGCCGATATCGTTGAGTACGGGTTGTACTTGTACTTGTTCCGAAGTCTTTGGTCGAATGTGGATAATTCAAATATCAAATGTGACAATAAGACACCGTATTTCTCCCTCACTTTGTTATCATATTCAGATTTCAAATTGGTATTGATCACTTGAATCACCTTGTTCATCTTGTTACGCACAGGCACAAGCAAAGTCGTAATCGCCTCGTATGTTCCAACTTTACCAACTTTCTTGAACGGTTCCTCAACAATTATGTTTATGACAGGCAAGCTGTCTTCCAAGCAATTTTCAACAAAGCTTAACGCCCATTCTGGTTTTGATAACTTATTAGTGTCTTTGTTTGGGGTATCAAAATGATAATGAAATCTGGTATTTAGTGGTTCTAATAGACATTCCATCGCCCACCATGTACCAGGGTATGATGGCGTGTTTCGAATGGCTTGCAATTGAATCAACTTCTCAGTAACTTCAGCTATTAAAGATAGTGCTTCCTTCGTCACGGTGGCTTTATTCAACCATCTGCTTTCCTTAACAAGTTGACGCAATTCATCCACAAACTTCTCCTTCCTTCGACTAATCTCATGTTCCAATTGTGAAATCAATTCGGGTGCATTCGATTCAGTCACATCCAGAGAAAGGGAGCGCAAATCCTCCAAAGAAGTGTTGCTTGCTAGTTTGGTCTCAATCTGTTGACATTTCAATAGATACTCCTTCTGTATTTCTGCCACCTGTTTCTTCTTGATCTGAATTTGCAATTCCCTCAATACCGGTACATCGCCGAATTCATGGAGCAATGCAGTCACATTGTCATAACTCTCCTTCAAGTCGTCCAACGTCGTTACAACCAGAACAACAGATATTATTTTCTCCACCGCGTCATTCAACTTAGACTTATCCAATTCTGGTTCTGTTTCTCCCCCTGATGGAGCTCCTTCTAAACCCGATAACTTGTCTGCCACGATCTTCCTTACTTGCTCATTGAGGGCCCCCAACGCATCTACTTTCGCATTGACAAATTGCAAGTCATCTATACTTGTAAAATTGGAGTTGATATAGTTTGCAAGTGCCATATTGTTTAGTACTGACTATGTTGATAATATGAATATTAACCCTAGTATTTGTCAGTGCGTACACGTCCCTCTCTCTCTCTCTCTTTCCCTTTCTCTTTGCTAACTCGGCTTCACGATTGATCGAAGTTGGTGGAACAAAAAGAATGAGGGAAAAAAAAAAACAAAAAAAAAAAATTTCAATTTCCCATCAGAGAGAGAGCCAAAGCACTGAACATTCCCCTCCAGTTTCAACGTCATCTTAGTCAGTACTATTCTAAACTACTTCAATTGACAATGCAGGCACCAGTTGTATACTTGAATACCTCTACCCAGAGGCAAACTGGAAGACAAGCTCAAGTGGCCAACATCACTGCAGCAAAAGCGGTTGCCGATATCATCAGAACGTGTTTGGGTCCTAAAGCCATGTTGAAAATGTTGTTGGACCCCATGGGTGGTATAGTGTTGACCAATGACGGTCATGCTATTCTTAGAGAAATTGATGTATCTCATCCTGCTGCCAAATCGATGATTGAACTTTCAAGAACTCAAGACGAAGAGGTTGGAGATGGTACCACGACAGTCATTATTTTAGCTGGTGAAATATTGGCACAAACTTTCCCCTACATTGAAAAGAATATACACCCCGTCATCATCATCCAAGCATTGAAGCAAGCTTTGAAAGATGCATTAGAGGTTATTCACGAGGTCTCTAAAGAAGTGGATATAAATAACGACAAGGCAATGATCCTGTTAATCAAAGCCTCCATTGGTACCAAATATATCAACAAGTGGGCTGAAAAGATGTGTGAATTGAGCTTGCAAGCCGTCAGAACGGTCATGGTTCAAAAGGGAGAATACAAGGAGATTGACGTGAAGAGGTATGTCAGAATCGAAAAAATACCTGGAGGAGAAGTGGCCGACTCAGAGGTACTTGATGGTATTTTGTTGAACAAGGATGTGGTTCATCCAAAAATGAAAAGACATATTGACAACCCAAGGGTCATTTTGTTGGACTGTCCGTTGGAGTATAAAAAGGGTGAATCACAAACAAATATTGAAATTACCAAAGAGGATGATTGGAACAGGATCTTGCAAATTGAGGAAGAACAAGTTAAATTGATGTGTGAACAATTGTTAGAATTCAAGCCCGACTTGGTCATTACCGAAAAGGGTGTCAGCGATTTGGCTCAGCACTATCTTTTGAAAGGTGGTGTTTCTGCGTTGAGAAGGGTCAAAAAATCTGATAATAACCGAATCGCCAGAGCAACTGGTGCGACCATTGTAAACAGGGTTGAGGATTTAAAAGAATCTGATGTTGGAACCAAATGTGGAGAGTTCAAGGTTGAATTAATTGGCGATGAGTATTTTGCTTTCCTTGACAAATGTAAGAAGCCGCAAGCTTGTACTGTTATATTGAGAGGGGCCTCAAAGGATATTTTGAATGAAATAGAAAGGAATCTACATGATGCCATGGCAGTGACAAGAAACGTCATGTTTGAACCATCTTTAAGTCCTGGTGGTGGTGCTACTGAAATGGCTTGTAGTGTGAAGTTGTCAGAAAAGGCCAAAACTATTGAAGGGGTTGAGCAATACCCTTATCAGGCAGTAGCTGATGCATTTGAAGTCATACCTAGGACATTGATTCAAAATTGTGGTGGCAATCCAATCAAAGTCTTATCGCAGTTGAGAGCCAAGCAAGCACTGGGAAACTACACATATGGGATAGACGGCGAAAATGGTAAAGTGGTGGATATGACAGATTACGGCATATGGGAACCAGAAGTTATCAAGCAACAGTCGATCAAGACTGCAATCGAGAGTGCCTGCTTACTTTTGAGAGTTGATGATATTGTTAGTGGGGTACGTCAAACACAAGGTTAGGATTATTTTTCTTTTTCTAGTGTATCACTACTTTCTAAGTAGATTTTGGTTTTGCCCCCTTGTACTTTTCGGCGATTCTTCTGATGGCGAATGTGAAGCAAGCAGACAAAACACCAAATGGTGGAAACAAATCTAAAATTGTCCATATTTTGCTAGGTTTGATCTCTTTTGAGAGAAGAGCTATCGCGTCTTTCAAATCAGAAACTGACCCAGAATTATCAACGACGATATCACTTCTGTAATTCCTTTCAGTATTTGACATTTGACTTTTAATTCTATTCTCTGCATCGCTTCTTGTCAACTCGGCATTTCTAGCCAACAATCTCTCAATTTGTAGGTCAGCTGCTGTTGACACAGTAACTATGAGACCACATATCAAGTACAACTGGGATTCAAACAACAAGGGAACGTCCAAGATTACCAAGCTTTTGCAGCTAGCATAGGCGCTCAAGATTTGTGCCACAATTTCCCACCTAACAGCCGGGTGGACTATTGAGTTGAGAATCTTTAGTTTGTTCTTGTCTTCAAAAACAGCTCTTCCCAAGATAGCTCGGTTGAGTGTGCCGTCCTCGTTTAATAAATTCGGAACATCGCTAAAGGCTGTGACAACTTTCTTGTAAGCAGGCTTGCCTGGTATCACTACTTCTCGAGCAATCAAATCGGCATCTATCACCGTGTAATGGTATTTGGTTTTGAGCTCGTGGGATACGGTGGATTTACCACATGCTATTCCACCGGTTAGACCAACAATAAGCATGATATGCTAGTGCAAGCCATTCTAGAATCCGATCGTATTTTGTTGATCGCAGAAAAATTTCCAGCTCGCAATACTCATCAAACTAAAGAGCACATTGAAATGACACCAATTCAAAAAATTGCCGAACCACTCAAGGTGCATATATTAGGTGCCGGTGCTTTGGGGTCTCTTGTGGCCCATGATTTGAAAATGTTTCAGCAGCAGAGGCCCGTGTTGCCAGCACTTTTGCTTCGACCAAATAAGTCATCAATCAAGGATAGGTTCATAAGAGTGAAAAGTCCAGATCATGTACATAGAGCAAAGGACTCCTCGGTTGAGGTGCCGGTTGACAAAGCCAAGGATCTTCAGGGGAATAGTATTGAGAATTTGATTATAACTACCAAATGTTTTCAAACCGAGGCAGCTTTACAACCATATATTGAAAACTTGTCTTCAAAATCCAATGTGCTAATTCTACAAAATGGGATGGGGATGCCCGATTTTCTCACAAAGAGATTCTGGGTGAATAGTTCAAATTGTCCCAAGTTTTTTGAAGCGATCACCACCCATGGTGTTTACGTCGACGAACATGGAGTAGTAAATCATGCGTCAAAGGGAACTTTGCAGATTAGCAGCAACAATGGTTTGGCTACAAATGAGCTTCCAGAGATGATTCGTGCAATTCTAAATACTCCGAGTTTGAATGCAGAGTATGTTGAGTATCACGATTTTATTTTACTTCAGATGCAGAAGTTGGTTATCAACTGTTGCATTAATCCATTGTCGGCGATATTCGATGTGCCTAACGGGAATTTGCTATACGGAGAGGATACAATCAAGCTTTGGAAATCAATAATTACTGAGTGCTTGGAGATATTTCATGTGGAGTATCCCATTTTGGAAGAAATACCGCAATCAAGGGCCTTTTTGAGCGAAAGTCGGCTTTTGGATATAGTGACTTCGGTATGCCGATCAACTGCATTGAATAGCTCTTCCATGAGACAAGATGTTCGGAATTTAAGAAACACTGAGATAGACAACTTGAACGGATACATTTCTTTCTTGGGGAAAAAACACAACAAGGCAACATTTACAAATTCAATGATCACGAGTATGGTGAAGACGAAGTTGGGTATAGATAGAGGTGTCGATAAAGCTGCTGCTGATGCGATACTAAGTTTATAGTTGTTTTAGACTATCAGTGACTGCACGAGCCAATTGTTTGCGATCTTTGTAGAGTGTCCCAATCGCTCTTTTTCTAGCTTGCAATGTGGGACTGTCATCGTCTGCGAATTGTAAATACTGATACTTTTCTGCTTCGTGTATCACTTGTCCTAGAATGTTTGAGATGAGTTCAAGGGATACGGCTTTGTATGAGGTGCCATCAAAGTTTCCATTGATCAATCCAATCAACCGTCGTGACTCTTGAGGTGTCGACTCTTGAAGGGTAGCCAAGGCTACCTCAGTCCGGAAAGACAACCCTTCTCGATTAACGGTGTAATTTCCAAAATAGTGATGTTGTTTCAAAAATTCAATCTGCTGTGGCTTCAATATAGCTAATATTGCTTTCGTTAGATCGATGTCATCCCACTTGTTGTTGGGTACAATAAATCCGTACTCTGTAAGAAGAAATTCGTTGCTGTGTGGTCCATAACTGAAATATAATTGTTCACCAGAAGCATAGCTAGATGTCGTAAATACTTGGAATCCTTTGCTGTCAATTTTCAAATTGCAATGATCATCGGGAGAATGATTGATGAAATCTATATAAGGTGCCAATGTGAAATTATCCTGGGTGTTTTTGCTGGTGGGGAGCTTCATGTATAAACAACGAGAGTTGACACTGAGCCAGGAGAGTAGGAACTCTTGCCTAGACACAAGTGAGAGAGCATTCTCAGTTTTCAGACTGAGCATCTCAAATACAACTTTGAAATCATGCTCGAAACGTTTGAGTACCTTATCGTGCATCCGTCTCGTTGATTCAGGTAACAAGTTTACCGTTTCAACATCGTAGAGTAAGGTCACTAACGAAAAATCCTCGAATGTAGGTAGCATTTCAAGGAACGGTTTCCAGTAAGACTTTTCCCGCTTCCTCTCCATCGCTATATACATTGCTAATAATTGAAATGAAGACAATTCAAGCAACTCCTCTTTCGATAAACTTTGATATATTGTGGCGTAGACATCATGAACCACATCTGCAGAAGCACTCATTTGATGGTCAAGTTTCATTCCGTTATATTTAGCAATATGATTCAACACCGTAACAGAGTTCATCAAGAAAACATGAGGAACGTTGATAATCAAATTATGCGGCTTGATGCTTTCTCGGGCGTAAACTCCTCTTCCCGAGTCTTCAACATCTCGAACAACGAGTGTGGGAGATATGAACGTCTTTTGCAAATTTCGTTCACCAATTTGCGTAGAATTGACCCATTCTAAAAGGTGTGAAAGGCGGAAATCAAAATCCTCCATACTGTCTTCCACAACTGCGTTTAAGTGAGAGAGAGATGTGTGCTTTGCTTTTCTTTTCGCAGAATTTTGTCAGAGAGAGAGAGAGACAGAGAGAGAGAGAGAGGGGTGGGGAGGAAGGATTGAGGCAATAGCTCTTGTTGACAGAGTTTTATTCGTCAAATTTCTTCCTAGTGGAAGATGGCATCCTTCTACGTATAGACCCCAGGATTGCCACTACCTAACGATGGCTTAAACGATGGCTTAAACGTAACGAGAGGTATCTGACGAAGAGATGGCTGCACTGTGAGATCTTAATGGACACAGTAGGTAGAATACTCTTCCCACTCATCGGCCACAGCCCTACCTCCAGAATATAGTCAATGTAAGGGTGCCTGTGGAACGATGGTCCCATGGGAGTACTGACAGAATTGGCTGAAAGGTGCTTGCAGTGATGGTTTCGCCACTAGCAGAGGATTCAATTATTTGTCGTACACCCCTCACAGATGGTTCCAAGTAATTATAGCCCATGTAGGATAGCAGATGGTGTCAAGTACAAGTAACATGTTGTAGTCTTTCTTGTACTCACTTGGCGTGGCCACTTAACACTTCAATGATGCTAATTTTAGAAACCTCCCTCCAACCACCTGCGTCAAATCTGTCGATCGGCTTTTCTCTGTTTTGGTTTTGTCGTCTCCGCCTCAAATTTTGTGTGTACCTCCCCGCCAGCGAGGCGTGGACAATGCACAGCGGCAGAGCTTGGTTCTCAACGCTAAACTCCGCACAGGGTGTAACGACTAGTGCAAAAAAAAAAACAAATCAACGAATACATCTGGACAAGCCACCCTCATTGTGGATTGGATTAGATTGGACTGGATAGGACAGGTGAACCGCTTCACCCCACTCTTCCCCAAATTTCAATTCAACATAGAATTTCTCAAAGTTTGACAACTCATTTTGAATTGTTGAAACGCATTGACGAACAAGAACATAAAATAAGCCATGGACAGGCGAAACCAGGATTCTTCCAAGCAGAGCTCTGAATCCAATGCGAGCTCCAACTCGACTTCGCATACGTCGCTTAAGAATATTAACAATACTGGAGCCCCCAAGATCCATATAGATGAAAGTACGGATGGTGCATCTCAGTACAAATTGTATTTGAAAATTAATGCTAATCGGGCAGCAGATTTGGTCAACACATCAGACAGCGAGAAGGAAGCGAGCTCAACTAGACATTCGTCAAAGAAGTACGTTAACCCGGTGCTTGTTGCCAAGATCAATGACCACAAGAAAGCGACGCAGAGAAAAACCAATACGAATCAGCCAAGTTGGGACGATGAGTTGAGCATTCCCTTGAATCGAGGAGACTTGACATCAATTCTAGTGATTTCTGTATGGGACAAACATAAAAGATACAAGAACTACCTTGGTGAATTAAGGTTGAGTTTAGAAAAGTTGTTCTTCAAAAATGATGGAACTTTCATAGAAAAGACTGAGTTGAAATGGTATGGTCTCAGCTCCAACTCTACAGTTCACGCCTTCGTCACCGGATCAGTTCTACTCTCGTTTGAGTTGTTTGTGAAAAAGAGAATGTCGCGTGCACCTAGAGGCAAAGGAGGTGTAGGGGCAAACATTGCTGCACAAATGCAAGGCTTCAGACTAAACGTAACAGAACAAGAGTTCAGAGCTTGGTTGCGAAGCTTAATTGAACCGGATTCAAAAGCGCTTCATCTGTTGACACCAGATGAGCAAGGATTTTACGATGAAGCAATGACAGATGTATCTGAAACGGAGTCGTTAGCCACAAAAAAGTCCGCGTCGTCTGGGTTGAGTAATGGCAAGCCGCTGGATAGCTTCAAGAAGAGCAGTTTTCTTGGTGTTCGAGGCAACGACAAGTACGCAAGCTCTTTGTCCGAGCAGTCGTCTTATTTGTCTACTGATGGTTACAGTGATGGGAACTTGTCTCAGGGTGGAGATGACAAAAGAGAGAGGCCGAAGAGGAGATTGGGTATTAGAAGAACCAAGCCCACTCGTGAAGAGGCTTCAAAGGATGCTTTTGAATTGAGGGGACGTCAAGTATTGGGTGTTTTGTTCATTGAGATTGTTTCTTGTGAAGACCTACCACCCATTTCAAACTTCACTCATACCAGCTTTGATATGGATCCGTTTGTGGTGGTGACTTTTGGTAAAAAAACTTTTAGGACAAGTTGGAAACGTCACACGTTGCTGCCAATTTTTAACGAACGTGTTGCGTTTGAGGTTATGGCCCATGAGAGCAATTACACTGTGCAGTTTTCTGTTCTTGATAGAGATCGATTTTCGTTCCATGACGATGTGGCACACTTGAAGCTAGCACTTCGCGATCTCATCGAACTTTCTCCCTTTCAATCCTTGATGGAACACGGCGTTTCCAGCTCCGAAGCAAGTATCAATTTAGAGCCTGGACAATATACCAGCGACAATGATGCCACACTGAATTCACGCGTCAAAATATTAGAGGACGACAATATTGTCAAACAGGTTAGGCGAGGAAGGTTCTCGAATAGAAAAAAAATTGTTGAGTCCACGGTAGACACTTCAAAGTTTAAGGTGATGTCTTTAAGTCTTGATTTGCACGACCAAAAATATTTGGGTAAATATTCACCAAAGTTGAAAATTCGTGTTCGCTTTGAGACTTACAATGAATTGAGAAGAGAGTTTTGGAGGGTCTTGTTGAAACAGTATGATTTAGGTACCACCAAGGAAGAAGAGGCTTATGAATATATGGAACTAGTCTCTCTCTTGGACGCCTTAGGGTCCAAGGATGCGGAAGCTTTAGTTGAGGAGTTTTACAAAAACTTGGGCAAGGATGTTATGGCAGATACATTAACCTATGACGATATAATCGAACAACTTGAGATCCACGTGAGTTTAAACGATCAAAATTCAAATCAAATTTTCGTGTTTGACACATGCCCCTTGTGTTCGCAAAAGCGACTTTCAAAAAAGCAAGATACGGATATAATTACTCATTTTGCCATTTGCGCCTCCAAAGATTGGAGTATTGTGAACAAACTTCTTGTCTCGTCTTATGCCACACCTCGTCATGCCACTAAGAAGTGGTACTCAAAAGCACTTATAAAGCTTACCTATGGGAAATATAAGCTAGGTGGTAACACGGCAAACATTTTTGTACAAGATCGGTTGACTGGAATCATTGTGGAGGAGAAAATGAGTGTTTACGTTCGGTTGGGCATCCGTTTGCTATACAAGGGTTTGGATAAAGCAAAATCGACGAGGGTGAGGTTACTACTCAGTAGTCTAAGCAAAAAACAGGGTAAGAAATTTGATTCACCGCTGCTGAAGGCTGATATTGCATCTTTCATCAAGTTTCACAAACTCAGTCTTGAAGATTGTTTGATTGACAATCCAGGCGGATATCCAACTTTCAACGAATTTTTCTACAGGAAATTGAAGCCTAATGCACGTTTGATAGAGGATAAGGAAAACGATGGGATTGTTTCCTCTCCCGCCGATTGTAGGTGCACTGTGTTTGAATCCGTCAATGATGCAACAAATTTGTGGATAAAAGGAAGAAATTTCACATTAGCAAAATTGTTCAATGGTAATTTCCAAAACTTGAATAAAACCAATTTGTATCAACCTGATCAATGTTCATTAGGAATATTCAGGCTAGCACCACAAGACTATCATAGATTTCATTCGCCAGTGTCGGGAAAAGTGGGGTCAATCAAATACATCGAGGGTGAGTATTACACAGTCAATCCGATGGCTATTAGATCGGAGTTGGATGTCTTTGGGGAGAATGTGCGTAGTATCATCCCAATTCATACCGAAAAGTATGGCACTGTGATTATGATTGCTGTTGGGGCAATGATGGTTGGCTCGATCTGTCTTACCAAACAGGAAGGCGATTCAATTGAACGAGGGGAAGAAGTTGGATATTTCAAGTTTGGTGGATCAACGATCATATTATTATTCGACAAGACCAAGTTTCTGTTTGATGGGGACTTGTTGTCAAACTCCAAATCGTGCATTGAAACTTTGGTCCGTGTGGGACAATCGATTGGGCATTCTCCTGACGTGAGTGAGTTCCAAAGAGATCATGTTGATTTTGATCAGTTACCACAAACTACTAAGTTGAAATTGATTCGTGTTTTGACTGGTGGTGATTTAACTGATAAGCATCAATTGAGTAACTGGGAGGCAAGGAGAACGGAAATGGAAGCCGACGAAGAGGAGGACATATATGTGTCTGATTCCAACATGAGTTTTGGGGGCGAATCCTCGATGGATGAAGAAGGATCCATTGCATCGCGTTAGAGTTATATATGGAAAGTAGCACTGACTCAATGTAAACCCAAAAAGAAAAAAAAAAAAAAAAAAAAAAATGTGAGACTCAAAGGGAACACATAATTTGCATTGTCAAGTGACTCCACATTTGATCAAGAGTGCTGTCTCTGTCTCCTTATCCGTCTTTTTTTCTTTTGCCCTCTACGCCAGAATTCATCAATGACGTCCACTCAATCATCAACATCAGAGAATGACAGCCACCCAATCATCAACGATCTCCATCCAATTGAACTTGCTGCCCATTCATTGCTAACTGGACCGTTGGATACGTTGGGTGAGAATTTCGAGCTGTTGAATCAGTCACAGATTATCCTTTTGACGAGACTACGTGTTATTGGTAGCCGGTTACACTCCTTCAGGGAGTTGATCGAACTGAACGATATTAGTGAAAAAGATTTGACAGCACAATTTAACAAAGTGAGAGATTTGTCAGACCGATTGACAAAGATATTGAAACTGTTGGACAAAATCGAATCTAGAATATTGCAATTGAGCGAATAAGTGCAGGGGTATTGCAACACGTTAAAGACCAACAACTTGAATTGAGAATAACAAAGAGAAATGGAACGAGGTCAGCATAGTGGATTATGCTACAACAGCAGAGAAGGCTGAACATCCCAGAAGAAGAGGAACGTTTGAATGAATGCCATCAAATATTGAGCAAATTGAAGAACATTAAAAAAGGGTTAGGGTTTTAGCAAGTCTCAATTTCACAACACCACCAAAGCCGATTCATGCCAACAACACCTCCCACAACATCATCAAACACATCAAGCCAGANTTTCAAATCCACAAGCACCGGTTGTTAGAGCATCTGGGAAGACGCCTAACATTTCCTACGAGAAGATGTCTAAATCAAAGTACAATGGAGCTGATCCTGGAGAATGTATCGCCAAGTATGGTGCTGACGCAACAAGAGCCCAGATGTTGTTTCTGGCACCTGTGTCTGATACGTTGTTGTGGAATGAGGATCAGATTGCTGGTGTTGATCGATGGCTCAAACGAGTTCTTGGGTTGAGGGAAATGGTTGCAGAGTTGAAGAGAAAAAGGTACTGGGCAAGAAGTTGCAAAAGTGACATTGAGAAATGCAATAACTGGTAGAATGGTTGTCGGGTTGAATGCGTGTGAGTTTGAATTCTACAATCAAGTTCAAGACCTAGTCAAGAGTATTGCTGACTCGGTGGATAATGTTATACTACTAAACATGCGTTACACAGATTTGACTGTGATAAGGAGAAGGATATCAATTGGATCATTGATTGCGTACAATTTCACCCTTTGAATCACAGCATTTTTGTATGGGACGCATATCAAACTTGTATTCCTTTTGTGGCAAATGTAGCAAAAACAAACTTCGTCACCACACTTCACTACTTCTCAAAACTGGAGTTCTGAACGTTTGTGTGGTTTAATTAATTTGCAGGAATTTTATCACAAATCTTTTGGAAAACGTTTAACGTGAATGTAGTGAGGAAATTCACCAGATCTGACACATGTTATACCACATTTGGAGAGGAAAAGTAGGGGATAACACGAATATAAGTACTTAAACCACATCGGAACGCTGCCTTATGTCTCTTATTGCTAAAAGCTGACAACAATTGTAAAAGAAAAGCCTAAAACCAAAAAGCCAAAAAAAAAAAACAAAAAAAAAACAAAGCAAATGAAAGCCGATAACCACCACCACTCACACCCAACAACAGAAGAGGTTTAGGAAAAAAAAAAAAACATCATCAACAATGAAACACAAAACAAAAAGCCGTCGATCGGAGTTTCGTCTTCTGCTTTTGCATCAAGGGGACACAACAACAACAACAACAACAACAACACTGACAACCAAACTGTTCTATACCTCTACAACTAATGTCTGGTGGTTAGAGAACATAGAATAGACACACCTTCTACCTCTGCTCAGTAGATGGATGGTGGATAGTAGGGGGTGAAGGGAAGCGAATGGCGGTAAAAAGAAGAGACCACACAAGAACATCTGTAAACAAGTATCAAACGCTTACTGTACCCCAGAGAATTGGCTAACTAATCTAATTTAAAAAGTAATCACCGCAGGTATAATGGGGCCGAGTAATGCAGAGTGAGGTAATGTGAGGTGGAGTAAGTATCGACAGTAGTGTAAGTAAGTGTAGAAATAATATATCTCCCTATAAAACTTGATGTGATAACAACAAAGACTCGCCTCTTGCACCACAACTACTCACATCTAATACATTGGTATATGTGCCTATTCCTACATATATACTTCATCGTTTTAAATTTTATTGTTTGCAAGTTGTTATTGTGGTAACATTCTCACACCTTTGAGAAGCTAAGGTTTGCACAAATCAGGTCTCTCAAAAAAGAAAACGAGTGAAAGCATCAAAGCTTTACCGCTCTGCATTCTTACTGGGAGCGAAGTGTGTTGTGTTGTTGTAATTTCGTTTTTTGTTTTTGTGGCTGCTCGGAGTTTTTTTTTTCTTTTTTTTTTTCTTTTTTTTGCCGTTTTATTTTCTTAATTTGATATTGAGTGATGTGATAGTGTACGTTGTTCAATAGGTTATTGTAGCAGGGGTAGTGGTTAGCACTTTGGTCCCAACTGCAATTACTACGTAACATCTTATATAATGGCGTGGTATAACATTAACAGCTCTGGTCTAAAGTTTTCTAAAATATTTTCAGTTTAAAAAAAAGACTGAAATACCTCTGTTGTTGTCAACCAATAAGTTACATCTTTGCATGCTAGTTCCTGATATCATGTAATTTCCCATATGCTTACTTCAGTAAACCCTACCCTTTTTTCATAGTATTATTATTAGACTTCTGTTACCATTCCAATGGTGGTGGTGTGTTTTTTTTTTCTTCTTCTTTTTCTTGTTTTTTTCTTGTCTGTTTTGATTAAATTTTGTGGGGAGAGATGTGTGTTTGTACTTTCATCACAAGAACAACCCACCACCAACTGGCCACCACAAACGAATGGAATTGGATGCTGGAGCTCTTCTTTATAATTTTATATGTGCTCGTACTTTGTCACCACTCATGTTAAACTACACAAACCCCTTTCTTTTTTGATTCTTGCACATATATATATGCTTGCAAATATCACCAAGCCTTGAAACTTATTCTTCTTTGAATAATCAAAACTTACAGCTACTACGGCTACAGCCACTAATACTGCTTCAGACACCAGTCACACTAGCACATTACATCAAACTTTACTACATTTCACTTCGTCACCTTACACTACACTCCACATGTCTTCTGTATTTTCGCAAAACTCGGCTACATCCAAAAATCCTTCAACTGATGTTGACGATGCTGGTATATCAAGAGTTCATGTTCATGGCGATGGTGGGGAGTTTGTCACCATTAGTGGTCAAAAGTTTTATCGCCATGAATTAATGGCCGCGTTTGGTGGGTCTTTGAACCCCGGTGCTGCTCCATACCCCAAAGTTAACATTAATCCGGCCCCACTTGGTTTGTGTGGATTTGCTTTGACTACTTTTGTTTTGAGTTTAGTCAATGCTCGTGCTATGGGTATCTCTATCCCCAAAGTTGTCGTTTCAATGGCCTGTTTCTATGGTGGCATGGTTCAACTTTTTGCTGGCCTATTTGAATTTGTTGTTGGTAATACATTTGGTTGTACTGCTTTAACTTCTTATGGGGCCTTTTGGTTAAGTTATGCCGCCATTCATATCGAAGCTTTTGGTATTGGTGCAGCTTATGAAGGTAGTGATCAATTGACAAATGCAGTCTCCTTTTTCTTGTTGGGTTGGACAATTTTCACATTCATGTTACTCTTAAATACGGTGAAGTCAACTTGGCCATTCTTTTTATTGTTCTTGTTTTTGTTTTTGACATTCTTGTTGCTCACTGTCGGTGATTTCACTGGAATATTGGGCGTAACTCGTACCGGTGGCATCTTTGGAGTTATCACTGCCATTATTGCCTGGTATAACGCTTTTGCTGGTACTGCCACAAGCCTTAATTCGTACATTGTTGCCCATTCACTCCCTATGCCATCCAATAATGCTTTAAAGAAACACACTTAAAGTGTCTATAATCACAAACTCCAATGAAAGAGGGGAGAGAAAGAAATGCAAATAAAGGAGACAATCATAAGTGCAAAGTTGGTCTTTCATTGAAACATGATGTGGTTATCTGTTTTAACTATTCGAAACTCTCATAACGTCTTTGTATTCACGCAAAACCACTATCACCAAGATTTTATACAGTGTGGACAAATTTAGGAAAGGGTGCAGATCAGTAATTAGTGTTATATAAAGAACCGAGGATGTACGTTTTGAAATGCAATGTAATTTCTTG